CCAGGTTAAAAAAAAAAGAGAGTACGTACTCTATGATCCCATTTTTAGAATCATGCCAAACGAGTCCATTGTGACAGAAAGCAGAGCAGTGGTTGTCTGGGGCTGGGCACTGGGGGGAAATTGATTGCAAAGGGGATTAGGGACCTTTACAGAATAATGGGATGGAAGATTCTATAGCTCGATGTGCTGGTGGCTTCACAGATGTATCTATTTGACAAAACTCATCAAAGTGTATGTTTGAAATGGGCATATTTCATCATGCGTAAATTATATCTCGATAAAATTGAATGAAAAAATGAACACACACACACACACAGGGAAAGCTGTGACAAGTGTCAGGCTGAAATGTCTCAGGCTGGCTATCAGATACCAAGAAGGCGGTTGAAGATCATGCCCATCTTGTAGTTGACTCTCCCGCCAAAGTTTAGGGCGTGACCTGATTCTACTCCCAGCCTGACTTCCTTTTATAAAAACTCTGCTATGCCTCTGCGCGTGGGATGATGGCCATGAGGCAGTTTGTAAACCAAGATGTGCTGTCTCCAGTCACAGAAAGGGCAGTGCCCGAGGCTGATTGCGCGCCTGTCCAGGGTCTTGAGCTGCCCTGTGTGTCTGCTTTCTGGGGGGCAGCACCTGCACGGAGAGAGATCCCTCCGGGTCTCCGAGGGGACCTGGTACCTGCAATCGTTTCCCTTTCCTCTAACCTTCCTCTCCTCGGCTGGACTCCTCTCACTGCTCAGAACCACCGGCCTTTGATAAGCTGTAAAGGAGTCATGAATAAATGGACATAAAGACAGCCTTCCTCCAGGCGCACTAGATTCTGAAAATTAGGTTAATTCTCGCTTGTGGCCTTGTGACTAAGAGCTCGAGCCCCAGGGTCAGACTTCACGTGTCCAGGTACCAGCCCGTCCACACCTACCAGATGAATGTACAAAAACCTTTTAACCTCTCAGAGCTCCGGCTTCTTTGTCTGCAAAAGAGAGGTCAAAATAACACCCACTTCACAGGCTGATGCGAGCAAGGGCATGAAAGTCCTTAACACAGGGTGGCATGGAGTAAGAAAGTGACAACTGAAAGCTACAAATATTACTGGATATTTTTGTCCTGGCCACCCTAACTTCTCTCTCTGTTTCCTAGAGGACATCAGAGCACGTTTCTCCCAGCCAGGCTCTTTGATCCAGGGGAGCAGAAAGTTCTCGTAGTCAGTTCGCACTCAGCCTAAACGGGAACTTTCCTAAAAACACCAGTTACATAAGACAAAATGGTTGAGCCCAGCCGCACCTTTAAGACCCAGACTCACACTCCGAGTTGATTGTGAGCATTGTAGTTCATCCCTGCATACTTGAGAAGCCTGTCAAGTGTAATTGCGTGAGCAGGCAGAGAGTCCAGCCACATGCCTTGTTGAGAAATGTAGAAAATTGGGTGCTCCAGCAAGCCAAGTAGGGAATTAATAATATATTTAGAATTACTAATAGAATGCCTGTCAAGCAGGCAGCAACGTATTATACACTCCAAAAAAAAAAAAAAAAAAAAACATCCTGCCTGTCATGTGGCGTTTCCACTGTTCCTGAGAAGCATATGTTCTTGGAAATAACAATGATTCGGCCCCAGATGAAACTTTTATTCTCTGGCATTTCCACCCCCCTTGATTTTTCACTCGTGTGTGTATTTTTTTTACATCCCGCCTCCCGTGTAGCTCCACCAACCCTCCCAGACGTCAGTGGGTCAAGCAGCCTCCCAAAGCAGCCTTCTGCACCTGGCTCACAGCCAAGCATCCATGTCTCAAAGCCCCGTCCGGCAGGCTTCCTCTTCTTCCTCCTCATCCTCCTCTTCTTCAGCTTTGAGCGTGGGCCAGTTAGTCAGCAGTAAGTATCCTTTCTGGCTCGGTTGAATCGTGGTGGCCTTCTCGTTGCCTGTCTGCAATGCCTTCCGTTCTCTCTCTCTCTCTGTCTCTCTCCCCTGCTTTTCTCTTTCTCTCTCCCCGCTCTCCCCTTCCATCCCTCCGTCCTTCCCTCCTTCCCTATTCTTTCACCATCAAAGAGGAATTTCCTGGCCCTCCTAGGCCAATACTGGAATAAGGTCCATGCCCGGGGCCAGATGGCTCCCCCAAAGCGCGCCCCCCCTCCGTGCGTGCACATAGGGGCCGATTTCTATCTCAAGTGCCTTCTGATGTGCTGAGTCAGTCCTGCCTCTTCAGAAGAGAGAAACCGATCAGCTTGCGGGGCATGAGCCACAGGGCTCGGAACTGAAATAACCAACAACAGGCGCTCAGCCGGCGGGTCAAGCCGCGTTTCTGTGTTTGAGGTCCCCTGCCATCCTATTTGTAGGTGTCAGAGGAAATAAAAGAGAGCATGCCTGTGGGCGGGCGGGTGTGTGCACACAATGAGCTGCCCCTCGTGGCATGTTGGGGAAGCTGCGTGGACTGGAATCGGACAGCAAATCTCGGAACAACCATTCATAAAATAAAATGAGCCCTGAGTAGGCCATGCGCTCAGTCGATGCAATACATTCAATATGAATTGATTGATTCATTCATTCAATATGAATTCAATTCATTCAATGTGAATGCCATACATTCAATAGTGTATATGGATACACTATTCATATATATGTGTAATTTTTAGAAATGGTATCTGGTCCCAGGTAAAGACAGGGTATGTATCACATGCAAATCAAAACATATTAAGATGAATGGGACAATGGCTGATGTGGTGTTAGTTGTTCACCTTTAGTGCAGTTTTTACTCATGCATAAAATCACTTAGATTATAATTCTCAGGAACCGAAAATCCAGTGACTGTGGGCTGAAAGAGCTAAAGCACTGCATAGATACTTGTGCATAAAATAAGGCCATGTGTGAGTATCTGTGTTTGGTCGAGTGTCATGAATGACTTGTCATAATAGGAACATGGGAATCCTCACATATCATCTGTAATGCGAAGCAAAATCGAGGGTTCCCATGCCCTTGCCGCACAAACAATCCTTCCCCCCCAAAAAGAATATATGTATGTGTGTGCATACATGCATATCTATTCAATTATGTGGATAATTCAGGCAAGAGTGATACTCTGGAGAAGAGAATAAGGAATTGTGGGGAGATATGCAAATGGCCAGGTACTTCAGGGGACTAGCCTGGAGACTCTTGGTCTCAAAGATGGGTCAACATCAGAGTTTTGGGGTACCCAAAGATGGGGCACACACAGAGTTTGCCATCAACCAGTTATTGTAGGTTGTTTCCATATACAGACCCTCTCGTTTGGGACAGAAAGTCCAGTCTTACTTGAATAAAGTCATTGATACAGTTGATCTAATTATAGCCAGATTTTTTTCCCCAATAAAGACTCTCCTCATCGCAGTGTTGTCAGAATAGATTTCAGCGTCATTCAAAGTCAATAATCTCCATAAGTTTCTGCAAAACACTCTATTTGTAAATAGCAGCAAGGTCATAACTCTAGGATAGGCTATTAAGCTTTGGTCCTGAAGGAAAAGGAACTGAGACCAAACATCTTCTAGAGAAGAAATACATTAAATAGGATATATTAAAGTACAAACCACCCCACAGATACAGGATTTTACACAATGTAAACACTCAGTACACGTTAGAGGACTAGAGAGATGAGTGAATGGATGGACACACAGACAGACGGATAGATGACCCTGGATTCTCTCTAGTCACTTGTCTCAAACTGGGCAGGAAAGGATTAGCCTTTCTCAGAAATCAGCACCAGAGCTACTTAATGGGACAGATGGAATTTCAATTGTACAGTTGCCAATGGGACATGTAAGTTCCAGGTGTATAATGAGTGGACCATATTACATGTCTTGATATGAAATATAAGGAATGGACATAGAGACTCCTTTGCCATATGCAGTTGAGGCAGGAAACTCCAAAGTCATATGCAGAGCCTAAATGAGGAGACTTCTCTGGCAGATATAAGAGAGGCTCTAGCACTACCACTGGGGATCCAACTTCACACGAACCCGTTACTGCGTTTACAGTTGCTATGGGTTTTGAACACATTATTTAATTAATTAATTTCCTTCCACCTCAAACCCAACAAACTACACAATGAATGATACACGGAGCATTTCTCTGATGCTGATTACCCCCCAAGAAACCTCTGTGTAAGACTTCATTATAAAGTAGGGTTTTCCAAGCACTTCCAACACTGAGCTCACTTTAATTACTCACAACGAGGTCATAGAAATCCTCATTTTCAAGTGCCAGCATTGTTTCCTCAAAAATCCTCTCAGTGTTAATATTCTTCACTTTTATTTGGTTGGGCACTTTTTTTCTTCCTGAAAGATATGGAATGAGAGGGACACTGTAGTCCTAATTAAAGTGCTTGCCATTAAAAAAAAAAAAAAAAAAAGGAAAGAAATCCTCATTTTCAGATCTTGAAACTGGCATCAAATAGATCCTGAACATACAACCCATCGTGGCCATCTACTGTCAGAGGAACCACGTTCAGTCTTGGTTGAAAGATTGTAGCACTCGGTATGACAAATCCATTGGGTGGCGTGGCCAGGATGATAACCCAAATAGTCTGATTCAGTGAGCCATAGACACCCTACACAGTACAGCTCCCTTAAAAAATAAGATGCTTACACATAAATTTTATCCAGTGAAATTTGAATGACAATGTATATCAGATCATCTAAACAGTCTTCAAATCACTTTTTAAAAGCCTAGACCCATACCTTACAATTGGAGCACGGGCTTTTCCCTAGGCTAGACATCATGCATATTTTGAAATTTATATTCAAGCATGAACTATCCATTTTAAATTACTTTGGTCTCAAATGAAACTTCACCAGATCTGCAGATAGGATAATTTGGGAAGACCCAACCCTGTGCCACAGGTGTAGCTGTAACGCAGGTTAAATTACAGGGGAATAAAGGGGTGTTTTGATCAGAGGTTGTCAACTTAAATATAAAAACACTAACTGAGCACTGTGTAGATACCAAGCATGGGAATACAAATCAAGAAAGCAAAAATAAGATGTGCTTCCTGCCCTGGGGGAGGTCATGAACTGGTAGCAAAGAGATACAGTCACAATAAGGGAAATGAAAGCTGTGATCGACACATGAATAGGGACTATGGTGATATAATAGATAGTTAACTCAGCTTCAGAGATTGAGACAGAACAGAAGGACTTGCTAGAGTTAATAAACCTGGAATTGAGTTGGATGGCTAATCAACAAATCCCTCTAAGAGACCAATGCCATAGTATGAACAGGTCAAACTGGATTTGAACCTATGGTCAAAACCTTGATCGATGAACCCTCCCACATCATGGTCAAAGACTGTCACCAGAGGACTGGGCAACTTGCCATTGCTTTAGATAAAATTGGCCCAAATTGGCTCAAGATTTCCATAGTACTGTTTAAAAATAGGTAGATTTGGGGTTTTTTAAAAATTCTTTGCTGAGTTTGGATTTGTTTTGTTTTGCAGTATACATTTTTTAAACCCCTGGCCTACAAACTTGAGTTTTAGACAGCAAAGGGCTTCTGGCTAATGCCATAAAAAACCATAAAGGGGACATAAAGATGTATGGTGATGGCTTGTAGGCACCTCCAATTCCCGTGATCACAATTCACACCATTTTCCACAATGAAGTCACACCATATTGCAAGGTAAACTGTTCCCCCACAGTACTTTGCACGTTCTCAAATGCTTTCTTATTTCTCAGAAATAGTCGGTAAATATGCCCATCATTTGCCGCGACAATAACATTAAAAAGCAGATGGATGTTTACATAAGACAGTTGATTCATACTTGGCCGCTTCTTTAAAGTTGCATATCTTTTATATAAAAATCCCACAGGCAGAGGTTGTAGAAGGATGATACTGATGGACGGTGGCTGTTCAACCCAGTCAGCAACCGCTTGCGCTGAGGTCCACAGTAACTGGTGGTGGGAGCTAAATTTTAAAAATGAAACAGAACAAAACATCTCTGCTGGTCCATCCTTAGCACTCTGTTCAGTATAGACCCAGTGACCATACTACCAGGTTCTGGAGAACAGGTTTGTTTTCACCCAATCTGCATTTAGTTCCCATAAAAATCTTGTACTTTTCAGCGCTTGCATTCCAGATTTGAATCAGGAAACATCATCATTATCCTTAGGAGTCGCTGCCAATTTTCAATGCCGGTTTATTCTAAATCCCTAGGCCAGTTACTTTCTATATAGATTGATCTTCTGGCTCCTGTATAGCAAAGGGTCAGATTCAGGGCAGACCCCGGCAATCACTGCTGTTGCATTCCGACCCTGTACTTAATATGTTGGGCTGACTTAACCCGAGCAAACTTCTATAAACGCCTCCTCTTCCTCATCAGTGCAGAGAAATCCCAGACTGAGTGGCTCTAGTGCTGAATCCACCTGGTAGCGGATCTGAGAGGCCCCTCCGAAGGGGTGACCATCAGGGTGGCCTCAGATTCATCCTTGAAATTAACCCAACCTCCCAGAGCCAGGAGACTGGACGAGGGAAAGCCAGACTGACCTATCCCAGGACAGAATGTCAACCTCCAAGCCAGGCTGACAGCCGACGTGGCATTCTAGGGAAGCTTCCGCTTACTGCATCCCTTTTGTTTCCCCTCCTCAAATAGAAAAGCATATGTCCCTTAAGGAAGGTGAACTGCTACAGTGGTGGGGACTGGGGGCTGGGGAGATCCTCAAAGTTTTAGAAATTTTAGGATCAAAAAAAAAAAAAGCATCCATTTCTTTTTATTAATTCAAGACACCTTACAGACACCATCTAGTGAATTCTCCCAAAGTGTGAAACCAAGTCCCATATGTTGTAATCAGGGTAAAACTGATTTGTGTCCATGGGTGGGCCCCTCCTTTGGATGGGGAGATCTTCATAGTCTTGGGACCCATAGAGAAAAGCATAATAAGACGTTTTACCATCTGATTTTATGGATAAGAACAATAATATGAAGAAAACCAGGCAGCTCATCTCCAGCCCTTAACAAATCGTACAAATGAGGAGATACTGATTTCCCCAACAGACCATCAGGTGCTTCCAGTTACACCATTCCTGTCTCATCTAGAAGTAGAACCAGAAGCGAGACGAGCGTGGACATGTGTATGAGAGAAGGAAGAAGGGACTCAGCCTTCTGGTGTGATGAGTGTTTGTTTGGAGCCCCCATGGAAGACCCTGGGCTCCGTGGGGCAGGTGCTCACGTCTCTGAGCTTTACGGCGAAGGTTTTGAGGATCGGCGCAATGTTGCAAGGGGCCGAGAGTAAGAGCCCTCAGCTTTCTGTCCAACTCCGGTTATTGTCAATAATCTGGCACATACCTAGATTTAGCTGCTGGTCTCAGGGAACCAGTAAGGAGACATAAGCATGAAAGGCAGCAGGGGAAGGGAGGAAATAAGATAGAACGTATTTACATAAAATTGCAGCCCAAGTCACAAACCTGCCCGGCACCACGCTGCTAACTCTGGTGTCGGCTCAGGCCACCGGCTGAAGCACAGCACAGTTTTCTTGCAGATGAAAGACCCGCCCCTCACACGCTGCTTCATTCAATTGATTTCTGTTGATCTAAAGATGGAGCTAATGGAAGGCAACAAATTTACTTCCCACAAGGACTACTTAGTTTTGCTCAGGGGAAAACTCTCCCCCTAACTCCAGGCTACACTCAATGTGGGGAGGGTCAGGAGAAGGTGAGGAAGGGGCACCTACCCAGGGGCCCCCCTCACCAGGCCTTTTGGGCTCATCACTCTGAAATGGGTGGTACAGTAGTAGAATCTGGTGACTAATGATGGTAAAGGGTCAAGAGAAGACAGCTGTGTGCATAGGGTGAGATGCCCAGACCCTGGCAGGCCAGAAACAAAGAAGGCCTCTGTCTGGGGGCTCAGTGGATCCCTTACATCAGAATCCCCTGTGGTACTTGGTCAAAATACATGTCCTGGGCCCCATCAGGTGACTCCTAGTCCCGCCAAATTAAGAAAGGCACCATCCTGAAAACTGTATGTATTGTTAGAAGGAAAGTCTCCAGCTTCCGATTTCCACCCTTGGTTTTGAACCTCCACTGCCCACCCTATTTAAACCTAAAAATAAATATTTATTTTTGAGAAGGAGGGAGAGAGAGAGAGCACGCCTGCAAGTCGGGGAGGGGCAGAGAGCGATGGGGACAGAGGATCCGAAGTGCTCTGCACTGACAGCAGAGAGCTCAGTGCAGGGCTCGAACTCACAAACCGGGAGATCATAACCTGAGCGGAAATTAAAGTCAGATGCTTAAACAACTGAGCCACCCAAGTGCCCTCTCCACCCCCCTGCTTTTATGCTTTTCTGTCCTACTTGCCCCCCTTCCTCCGTGAAATGTACTATCACAGATATAGTGCACATCTGTTCTGTTTAGGTGCCACGGGCCCTGGGGCAGTCACAGCCACTGCCCGATCTACGACTCTTCCACGTTCCCCTATCTCCCCCCCCCCCCAGCCCCCGAACCAATTTCCGCCCCACGGGGAATGCACACTCTAAACGCAGAGTCACCAAACAGGCTGAGCCAGGCAACGGGTCTAAGAAGGGCTGCGGAGGAGGAGGAGGGGCCCACAGGGCGGCCAGAACCAGTTCTAGCTGCCTGTTCCCAAGTCAAGTGCACACGGAGACCTGGGCAGCCAAATCCTCTAACGTTTTGAAAGAACATTAAACATGGAGGCTGGTTTTTTCTCTTTAGAAATCTCCCAGTGTTTAAATGTTGGCAATTCCAAAAATCTGTAAGCTCTAGGAAAGCTGTGTTTGATGTCAAGCTGCTCATTTGCAACGGCTGCTCTAGGAATGTTTACAGGGAGAAAGGAGCGAAGAGGCTCCAGGCGGCTGGCTGCGTGGCCTTGGCTTCCCAGGATCCTCAGCAGGCCCTCAAAGCCACTCCAGGCTGCCATGCTCGTGGGGTTTAAGATTCAGAGGGCAGCGTCTCCCAAGGGCAGCCCAAACACGCCTTTCTTTAACCGGGGTTGCCAGCCCTGTGGGGGAAATCTGGGGAGAAAAAGCAAGATGTGAATTCATCTTGATCATTTTTATAGTCCCCCCCCCTGCCCCGGCCGGGCGACATAGATTCCCAGTGTCCTACACCGAAAATATTCTCCACCCCCAGCCCGGGCTCCCCCGCCCACCCTGCCGAAGGCTTGCAGGCACCCCCACAGGGCTTTGCCCTTGCCCGCATTCTGTGCTCACCTGCACACCACCCCCACTGGCCAGAGTATGGCCCCTCCATCCTCTGAAAGCTGCCCGTTGGGTACGACCCAGGCGAATCCTCCCTCCTATCACCCCTCCCTTCTCCGTAAATTCTGCTGCAGGGGTCACACCATGAGTTCTTGATTTTACTCAGCCTGGTATTTTTCTCCAATTGTTTCTCACTCATAATACTGAGTCCCAACCCCTGCAGACTGTAAACTCCACAGAGGCTGGAAGTGCCCTTCCTATTTCTCTTGCTCCCGCTTAACATTCATGAGGACGCCCCGAAGTCCTTCGAGAAATGCTTAGAGACTGTCCGCCATGCTCGTACCTTGTACCACTTTCCAATCTTTTCTCGAACAAAATTCCGACGAATGACACGTAAACCTTCTACGGGACTTTTTTAAATGTGAAGCTGAAGAAGGTACGGTGCCTATGTCTATTGCTGAGTCTATCGACAGAGCCCATTTCCCCCCCCCAAGGAGAGAATCTGTTACCCGAAGCTCCAAGCCCCCCCCCCAGATATTAACATATTCATTTAAAAGTCTTTGGAAAATTGGCCCTTGAAATGCAAATGTTTATTTTTCTTCCTGATACCTGGAGGTTCTGTAGCCCTGAGCCCAGAAGACTAATCTAGTCCACCGGAGTCCCCAGACAAGGGCTTGAATTTACTGAAATTGATGGATTATTGTGCAGAAAGAGGAAGAGGAAAACTTTTCACCCAAGTGCGAGGGATGAGGTGAAGAACAATAGAGTCAGCTCGCGGCGGGGGGGGGGGGGGGGGGGGAAGGGCTTCGCTCCAGGCAGGAGCAGCAGCACTTTGAAATCTTCCCCCAGCCCCAACCCATGCTGTCTCCAGCCCGGTGTAGGCTTTCATTTATCATTTATCCGGGGATCCGTGGCGGGAAGGGGGGAGGGGGGCTCATTCTCCAGCTGTTGTGTCGTTTCCCTTGATAAGTCCTAAATTGACCGCGTTCTCCGCCACCAAAGGAGCCTTCCTGCAGTAGGCATTTTTTATTACGTGCCCTTTTAGGGGACAAAGGCATCGTGTCAGTAAACTGCTATGGGGGGGGGGGAGATAATATTAGTCTCACAGCTTCATAAGCACAGTCTTCTGAGGGGCCAATGTGAACATAAGAAATTAGACCGCATTACCATCTGTTAGCCTGAGAGCCGTGGTGATCCGGTGAAGGAAAAACACAAAATACTACTTTTTTTTCCAAGGGCAATCTTTAGCCCTAAAGAACCCAGTTAAGATGTTTCACGTGGAAGCCTTTCCGTGTTTGTATCTTCGCACAATGTTTGAACAGATTTGTGGGCACAGTGGAGTCGCATCACATAGCCAGTGCCTTCCCGCCCGGGCTGTTGCTTGGGAAGCCCAAGGGGACATGCTCTTGTATTGCGGACGCGGCCGGTGTGAGCTACCTGGGGCTTTATGCAGGAGAGAAACATCCCGAAGGATGAGTTGTGGAGACGCGATGACTCAAAGGCGGGGTCTTGGGTGCCTCGCGGGGGAGACGAAGGGAACATTCAACCTAGGTGGTTCCCCTGCCACTCTGCTCTTAAAGAAAGCTGCTTTCTTAGAAGCCGTGATAGACAGATGACTTGGATGCGTGTTGACATATTGATCCTATTTTTAAAAACATCTCCACAGATCCTCAAACGGCAGCGGGTGAGGTGGATGGGGTTAATCTGGAGGAGATCCGAGAATTTGCCAAAGCTTTTAAAATCCGGCGCCTGTCCCTTGGCCTGACCCAGACTCAGGTGGGACAGGCTCTCAGTGCTACAGAGGGCCCCGCGTACAGCCAGTCGGCCATCTGCAGGTAACCCGTGCCCACGTGCTGTCACCTCTCCTGGCCGGCCTGGGCCTCGTTTGTCCTAATGGCTCAGCTTTTCTTCTTTGGGGGGCAGAGCTGGAGGGGTGGAGTTTGGGGACTGAGTTCGGGGCGCTTCCACGTTGGAACGGGTGACACTGGTGGAAATGAAGTGCTAAAGCAGATTTGGGGTCCTGGCTTGATAACTCCTGTCAACTCACAAAGAAGGCAGTCTCATTGGAAATGCCTCACCTCGGGCCAGAAGCTTCCTTCTGGGCAGCTGAGAGCCACTGCCTCCTGTCGGCAGACAGGCATCCTGAGCAAGTATCATAGAGCTGCCATTCCCACCATATCTGCCCAGGGATGGCTCTCAGGATCCTCCCAAGAAAATACACCTTAAAAAGAACATTAACCGTCTCGTGGTCGCAAAGGAATGCTGTAACGTTCACTGCCTTCCCAGACGCGACTCCAAACGCACGTTTCTCGAAGACGCCGCTGCGGTCCGCAGCGCAGGCTGGGGTAGTGAGAATCCCGCCTCACTTGTCCCCACGCCTCCAAAACAAACACATACGTAAATGACAAGAACCCAGCCTTGGTTGTGTTCAAGTTGATCTGGGTCAAGCCGCCAGAAGCAGACCCCGTGCATGCTTGTGTGAGTCGCGCTAATCCCATGTTTATGCATGAGGTAACAAAGGCACTTCTGTGAGAGCTTTTTCCTCTTGGGCAAAGCCTTATGAGTCCTCCTCCATCAGGAAAAGCCAAGAAACCAACTCTAAACTCATTTAAGTGGATTTTGTTCTTGGTGATCCATGAAATGCTGTCTTTTTATCTGCTCTTTATACTTTTAATGTATTCCCCAAAGGACGGAAGTGTAGTTTTCCTGCAGTTTAAGACTAAGGTTATAAATAACATCAGTATGGGGTAGTAGCTTGCAGCTCACATTTTGCTCAATGATTTTCCATAAAACCCATTGATTGTTGTTAAATACAAAAAGCGCCATAGGATCCTCTCACTTCTATGGTCTCCCCTACCGTTTTTTCTTATAAGATACCTCCCTGTAGAAAATAACCTTTATTCAGTCTATGCAAGGGTACTACTGCTGCTGGGAAATTTGTTTCCAGGCTTGTATATGTTATTCCAAACAACACGCACAGGAACATCAACACTAACAAGCAGCGTCAATGATATGAATACTGTGGCTCCCTGTTGGGAAGCATTAATTTTGTTTCATCTTGACGGCCTTGTGATAAAGGCGGCCACAGGTTTTTAAGTTGTTGCCAATTTGTTATTTTTGCTAAGGTCCTTTTTGGCTTATTTTTAGTCCTAAAACGTAATTTCCTTTTGTTTCTTCGAGTGCTATCTAATGTTTTCCACCAGGGCACATAGTGTGTCTAGGGCATTCCCAATCAACTATGTTGATTCCTAAAGTCTTCCCCAGGGGAAGCCAAGAAAGCCACGGCTGATGAAAAAGGGAGAGACCCTGGGAATTCGCTGGATAATGGAATAAGTCAGATGCCTTGACTTCACAGCCTTTCTCTAGCTCCCAGGGTTTTGGCGAACTAGTTTTAGGAGCTGACTGCCAAGAGCGGGGGAAAAAAATGAAAGTCTTGAAAGAGACCGTGATCTGACATTGGAAAAATTCAGGTTCCTTTTAAGAGGTGGGAAGGAATCTGCATCTGAGCCTGCACACCCAGGTGTCGCTCACGAGCTACAGTGACTCCCAGGCCTGGCTTTGATGAGCCCCTCCTGATCCGAGACGCAGAGGAGGAAACACCGCCAAAGCACTGGGCATCCCGGTGGCCAGCTTTGTCCCTAAAGCCTGTTGTCACGGCATCAAGAGTTTAAGGTCTGGAGCTTTTATGATGAGTGACGGTAAAATGCCGTATGTGGCAAATGACCACGACAGTTGGAGCTCCGGGGGAGCGTGCCTCCGGGGGCAAGCTCATTAAATGACATTAGATGATTAGTTCATCTCATATTAAAAGCAAAACGTACCCCTTCCCCCCTTGATCGGTACTGGAAGTTGGGTTTTTAAAAAATAAACAAATAACGCCTTGAACCATACGTGGAGGGCGAAGCTATGGAATTCCTCTTAAACCTTGATAGATTTGCACTGCTTATCACGACATCTAAAACGCAGTGTCAAAGGTAAGATTATCGCCCATAAAAGAAGCCTCTCCTTTTGTCTTCTTCTGCAGACGTCCTTATAAAACATACTCTCCCTGGATAACGCAGGTTCATTTTAGCTCTATGAGAACAGACCATCGTAATAAGATGTACTCTGTGGTCGGATGGTCGTCTTTCAACACGCTGGCCGCTTAAAAAGAGGATCCAAGAGAGGGTCTGTGTATCCCAAGTTGTCATCCCGGAGGGCTGAGAACTTGGATTTAGAACAAACACACAGGCAAATAAAAGCAAGTGGTCCTTTGGTATATTTCATTGAGAGGGAGTCTCATTCGATACCAGGATGGCTTCTTAGAACACTGGATATAATTTCGTCCCAGATGCTTCATATTTTTTTTTTAAAAAATCAGTGTAGCAAAGACTTGCTGATGGCAACTGGTACATAGAAGACCTCATTTACACAAAATTATATCATTCAAGTACACTGTGCAGATATCCCACATTAAACACAGCTTGATGCCCGGGCGCAAAAGTACACCATTACACCGGACAGCGTTTGAAAGGCACGAGGTGGCCTTAGCCCATCCGGGGAGGGGGGTGTTCATAGCAATTACAAGGTGTCCAGCTGTTTGAGTCCCACGCAAAGTAGCAACGGGCTGTGTTTTGCCTGAAAAGGGGCCACGTTGTTAACTTACATACGGTGCAGTTTGTTACTTGAGAGAGAGGAGGGGTGGGGAGGAGGAGGGGGGAGGAAGAGAAAAAGGGAGAGACAGGGAGCGATTACAGTAAGACGCTACACAGAGATGAAAAGAAAGCCGTAAAAGAAACGCGTGTCCGTTGCCATCACCCACCGTGGTAACACCTGTCACATTTTCATAACCAAGTCAGTGGGAGGAGTTTAAGGGAAACGAGATGTGAAACATAAAAGGAATCCTTTTAAGTGAAAGGACACGACGGCCGTTGTCTCCAGTGCCACTGCCTGGTGTTCATTTTTGCCTTGAGGATTCTGAAGAGGGGGAGGTGTGGCCCGAACGGTCCCCATGAAAGCTCGGCTGCCCAGGGTGCACGGGGAGGGGGTCGGGGGGGGGGGGCAGATTTCTGCAAGTGGTGTCCCTCCCCATCATGGTGGTTCATGTGTGCTGTGGTCTGCACCCTCCCTCACCCCCTCGGCGTGGCTGTGCGGGCTGCATGGGGGCATGAAGCATGCGGGATGGGGGCGCGCGGGCCTGGGCGGGTCGGCCACCTTGCAGCTGGCTGCTCATCTGGAGTGAACTCGCTCTGCCAGGCAGTCAGGCAGGCAGGCAGGCAGGAGGCCCACCCTGGCAGAGGACTCAGTGTAAGACTGTTCTTTCTCAATTCTCCCCCCAGACACACCATCCTGAGAAGCCACTTTTTCCTACCACAGGAAGCCCAAGAGAACACTATAGCTAGCAGTCTGACAGCCAAACTGAACCCTGGCCTTTTGTATCCTGCCAGGTTTGAAAAGCTGGACATCACCCCTAAAAGTGCCCAGAAGATCAAGCCGGTGCTTGAGCGGTGGATGGCTGAGGCTGAGGCCCGCCATCGAGCAGGTGTGCAGAACCTGACCGAGTTTATCGGGAGTGAGCCGTCCAAAAAGCGCAAGCGGCGCACCTCCTTCACACCCCAGGCCCTTGAGATCCTCAATGCCCACTTTGAGAAGAACACACACCCCTCTGGGCAGGAAATGACCGAAATTGCCGAGAAGCTGAACTATGACCGGGAGGTAGTTAGAGTTTGGTTCTGCAATAAGAGGCAAGCCCTGAAGAACACAATTAAACGCTTAAAACAGCACGAGCCGGCCCCGGCCGGGCCTCTGGAGCCCTTAACAGACTCTCTGGAAGAAAACTCCTAAAGGGACGCCCGCCCGGAAGCAGAAGCAAACCCCACAAAATGGAACTCCGCCCTTTGGACTCCGCAAGTCATCATCGATACTAATAATAATTAATAGTGATCATAAATTGAAAATAAAAGAGCCCCACTCATCGCCCTTGTAAGTAAAGGACCAAGAAAACTACCAAGTGGACGGAACGGTTTATACGTGTCCGTTGGCTTTCCAAAAAGAAAAAAAACCACAATTTTTGAAAATTTTTAAACAAGACACACTCTGCGTGGCAGGTGTGTGTGGTAGGATAGTCCCCTCCCCCACCCGACGCCCCCAAAGCCAATTTTTTAATGGACTTAAAGCAAACCAAATAACCACATACTTTTTTCTGTATATTATGAAAATGTGAACACATTTTAAGGAAAAAAGAAAAACAACTAAACCAAAAAAAAACAAAAAACAAAAAACGCAAAACAAAAAAACCCAACAAAAACTTTTATCTGTTCAAAGCGAATACAAGCCTGCCACCTGGAGGAGGGACTGGGAACTGCATTCTTTCAGGTTCTAAGTGCTGATTTCACTATGAAACCTATTAACCAAAGTCAGAAACACGGCATTGCAAACGCGATCGTTGGTCTACTCTTCTCTGCGTGTAAAGTTGCGTTACGAATTTTTACATTTGTACTTAGAGGAAAAATAAGAAGCCTGATTTCTCCCATCTGACCCATCTCTGACCCCACCTGTGGGGTGGGTGCCATTGTTGAAGCCATTCTGTGAGGCTCACTATTGGTTTTCATTTGGGATGGGGGGTTCTTTTCTCTTTTCGTTTTTGGGTTTTTTTTGGGGGGGGGTGGCGGGACATCCTAGATCGTGTGCCAAAGCATTCATTGCTTTCTTCTCACTATGACTTGTGGGTTTGAGAAAAGAAGGAGCCGGCATTTCTCACTTTTCCTACATTTCTCCATCTCCCTTGCGTGTGGCTTCCAGGGTCTGCTGAGGGGCCACAGAGTGGGAACCGTGTCCCTTCCACTCAGATCCCGGTGAAATGCAGGAAAGACTCCAAAATAACTAGGGCTTTGCTCGATGAACTGTCAACACTGGCATAAGCTGTCATTGTCCTCACTGTCCACACCAGAGCTTGGGATTTTTCCCAGTCTGTTGGCCACGTACATGGAGAGCTGACCAAAACTAATTTTGTAATATAAACATAAACTGCACATTTGGTTCAATACTCACATCTATGTTATGCTTCTGTGCAAAGCAATTTCTCTCAGAGGTCTGATAGCCAAAGAAATGTCTCAAGATTTCAGTCAAAACACACACACGGCATGCACACACCCATATGCACACACACGAAGGAAACAGGCCAAAAAGAAAGGGTTCGTGACTGGATCATTAAAGGCCATCATGTATCCCCTAAACCCATCTTCTCTGCTACTGTTTTCATTCCAGCTGGGATGGCAGACTCTTTCCAGGGGGGAGCAATTGTTCCTAGGATATACAAATGCAGCAGGAAGTTGGAAGACAAATTTAAACAACTGGAGTTGGGGGCTGGGTTCCTGAGGGGAAAAGAAGTCGTAGCAACCAAGTGCCTCCACTAGAAGGAAACAAATCTAGTAGCGGCTTGTCTAACACAGCAGAATAGTCTTCACCATTAGAACTAGGGGGTTATTTCATTTTTCAGAATAACTTACTCAAAAGATCGGTGCACCGAAGTAACCTAATGGGCCAGACCATGGCTGGGTAGGCAGACACCGGATCCTGCAGGTGGAGGCCAAATGCGGTCGGTCAGTCGAAGGAGCGGGCACAGGGAACCACCAATGTGCGCGCCATCTAGATGCGAATACTCCCGATTAATTCCTTACTAATCACACTCATGTGCTCTCGAGACACTTCTGTATTGTGAAAAGAAAAAACAAACAAACCTCAAGTTGCGCCACTGAATGGAAATGTCATCTTCTTCCCTAACATACTCCCTCCCCTGTGGGAGTTTGAGTTTCTTCTGTCCGCCCCTGTGCTGGCCATGTCGGTGCAATGATATGAGTGTCCCCACCCTACCCCCCTTCCAGACGGTTCACGAGTCAGGAGTCAGAAGGCCACCAGCAAGGAAACTCAGAGAGAGACCCCGCAAGTGGAATCATCCACTTGTGAAGCTGTTTCCATTCGGCCAGTCTGATGCTAACCGACCACGGCTCACGGACCGCGGCCAACCTGACCCTCAATGCCAGCGACATCACGGCACCCATGTCACCACCGCCAAATCCACTGCACAAATACCAACAGCCCAGAAATCCAAAACCATATCGATGAAACCGATTTTGTATTCTCCTAGGACCTGCTCCAAATTCCATCAAGGAAAGCTCCCCAGGAAGAGAAGTTAATGCTAAATGGATAAACACACCAGGAGCAGCTGCGTAAGTCTTGCTCTGCTCGAAGATCCATAATTGGAAGAGGAGAACTAGGAAGGTGAAAATGGAAAATAAAAGTGATCTTCCAGAGTGGAATAAAAAAGAAATATATTCATCCCACAGTCGTAAAACCATTCATGTGCAGTGCTTTTTTTTATAGTTTTATAATTTTGTATTGTTTTATAAATTATTTATAAGGTGTTGTAATGCTTCTTATATTAATTTTTTACAGATGAATTTTTTGCTACAAGGCATAAAAAGGTGCCTGAACAAATTCTTAAGAATATAAATTATACTGCGTGACTTGTAAGTCTTCGGGACCTCACCTACTGCTTAATTTTATTATGACATTTCTTATTTCCACTTGTAAACAACTTCATACGCCAACAGCACTTAGGCGTCTTTTATGTTTCCATGAACTGAAGGTTAAGGTTGTGACTAACAAAAAATAAAAGCCACGTGGGGCACATGTGATTGTATTTCAAGCCTCAATATTTTTCTTACATAGGCTTAAATTATGGTCATCTCCATTTCCTTCATTGTTTGATGAGAGCGAAAAATGACCAATGTTATATTTCACGCTTGTTTGTGGGCTTTCTTTTTTCTTTTTCAACCAGAAAAGAACCACTTTGAACCGCTGAGAGTTTTAATTGCATTGCAAGGTTTTGGTTTCTATATGTTATAATCACACCACACACACACACACACACACACACACACACACACACACACACCACAAAAGAGAGAACAAAACAGCAAAAGGAGCTAGGAAAAAAGAAAACCAAGTAGAGGCGTATCAAAGAACTCAAGCTATAACCAAAAATAAATTGTAAAATGCCTTTGCCCATCTTCTCTACGCTGGACCAAAGCTCAATATTTGTAGGTATATGCACATTGTATAGATACGGCTTAAATGTTGCTGACAATCTTGCAATACTAAACTGTTCCTATTTTAAGAAAAGAAAAAGAAATACAAACTCTTCATCAATGTTTTACCTCAGCACTCTACTTGTACCCAGTTAATGACCAAGCTTAAAAAAAATGGAGAAAAAGGAAATTGATTTTCTTTTCAATGTTTGACTGTAAAATCTCTTTGGATAACATTTTGTAATGAGCTTTTCGTCACGTGGTTTGCTTGTCTTCAACTTGAAATTATGTGAGGCACATTTGTTTATTTGTTGTTAAGAAAGTGATTTTTTTGTTGTTTTTGTCCTACGTGCTGTGATCTAGACTGGTCACCAAGGTCACTGATGAGGCACCGCAGAGAGCTGCCTCTCCGTGTGTGGGGCAGGTAGCAGAAAAGTAGGCAGGAAATCCAGCTGGGGTGTTTTGAAAAAAAATCATCACGATGAGAAGTTGACATGAGATGGACTCGTGACCAAGAAGCCAAACTGGATGTTTAAAAGCTCCTTACTTGCTCTGACATTGAAACCAAAGCTGATTTATCTGCACAGGTTGCTTAATGTTTAAAAAAAAAAAAAAAAAAACCCTGACAAAACTGTACTTAATCTAGAGCAATATCTGTATGGTCAGTAAAGCTGCACTTTGTGTATTTCTTAACAGCTTCAGATCTGTCACTTTTAATTTGTACCATAAAAAATAAAGAATTGTTTGACATGAGCTTCTAGGCTAAGCGTGTCTTGAACTCAGATATGTCATTTAGGTTGCACGCATGTAAATGAACGTGTGTCTTAACCGCAGGTGTTAAGAAGAGGAAGGGGTTCCAGACAGACTGGTTAATATCGTGATTATTTCAACGCTTCCAATAAAGTGCTAGATAAATTAGGACTTCGTTGATTGCAGGTTACCGAAATCCAACTTAAACTTGCAGAAACAGAAAGAAACGATGCTGTTTTGACCTGATCAGGAGCACAGCTGGATACAGTGATCCAGGGATGTCATCAGCCTGCCCTGCTCGGCTTCCTTCTTGGACGGAGCCCCCAGATGTTGAGTCTCGTGCCTGTCTTGAAGCGAGGAGCTGTGCTGGGGGGGATGTACTTGAATCGGTCACTCAGTGTCACAGACCCATCCTGTCGGGGGGTGGGGGGAGGAGATCCACATAATAACAACCCCGAGGGACCCCAAGGATGAAGGAGGAAGCCTCCACAAGAACCTGAAGATGGAAGATGGAAACCATATAGTAGGCAGACAGAAGCCACAGCCACCCCAGTCTCCTACTAACACCCAGCTGTGTATCACGTGTTGTAGGGGATTCTGCTGGGAAAGAGCTTTTCCTGCTCTCCGGCAATGCCTGTCTGTGCATGTTCTGGAATATTCTGGCATTTAGAATATGCTCCTGATTCAGTTTCGTGTGAGTTAATGTTGTTCTGTAGTTTACTAAATCAAAGAGAAGATGGGAATATCTTGCTAAAATACCAGTAAAAAAATTTTTTTTAATTATAATCACAATCTGCATGCGTTAGTGACCTTCAGCAAACATTTCTTATGCTACATGGAGGTCCATATATTGACTTCGTCTTGTGATTGATAAGAAGTGCTTTAGGGCAAGTAAAAGAACCAAAAATCGGAGTGACCATACGTTATAAATAGGCAAGGAGATTGGCCAGGAAGCTCCGAGATGAACTGTTAAGAGGAGCAAAAAAATGCTGATGCTTCTGCCTT